TTAGGCTTCTTCATTTCCTTTATGATTTAGAGGTAATGTGGCAAAAAACAATAAAACACACATTTTTCTATGTTTTATACTGTGATAAAACATGGGTTTTCAACCAATCAGAGTGCACGCAGGGTCCTATCTATATTATAAAAATAAATACAGTCAATTCTCTCTAAGACGGACACCATCGGGACTGGCCTCAGCTGTCGTCTTAGAGAGGTGTTTGGCTTGTAGAGAGTCGATGTAATATGACCCCAGGAATTTTTAGATCATAATGCTGAACTTATGCACAGTGAATAAGTGTCTGTTTAAAGTTTGTTTTTAAGTTATTTACTTGAACGAAACCTACAAACTGGAACTAACACATATTTATAACATTGAATCTCTTTTTGTATTACAATCAATAGTTAAAGGGTTAACTAGAGTCCAAACTGGGAACAGGACATTCTGCAAACGGGAACATAATCATCTCATGACTCAGGACTGTCTTTCGCGGCACCAAGTCTAAAACGATATCACATTCAGCACCTCAAAAGTGTCCGTTGACGATTTCAAATTGTCCGTTGTCCGTCTTATGGAGGTGTCCATCTTATAGAGAGCTTGGTTATAGTAAAATGACTGAGAAACGGCCGGGACCAGCACTAGGTGTCCGTCTTATAGAGGTGTCTGTCTTATAGAGGTGTCCGTTAAGAGAGAGTTGACTGTAATTAAATAATTATAAATAAATTTTTGTGTTCTTACCTCTTGCTTTTTCCAACAGTTTTGCTTTCTCTTCTAGTATGTGGATCTTCTTATCCTACAATTAATTATATAAATTATGTAATTGATAAACATGAGGCAGACCTTGAAACTAACATGAACATGATTTCAAGTACTGTAGACATTGTCAAATACTGCATATATTAACTGTAAATTATACTCAATATGTAAAACAGAACTTAAAGTAAGATACGTGTACATGCAGTAAAAGTGCATGCAATTACATTGTATTTCCAACCTACAGCTGAACAAATTTAACAAAATTGAACTTTGTAGACCAAAAAATACAAGCCAATATTTTATTGAAAATTGCACACAACCAAGTCCATAAACATTAAAACACGACAAAAGTTAATTTTGTTTAAGAAAATTAATACATGTACGATTAAAAAGTTTCCATGTAACTTCTGTGAAGTTATAGAAACACAAGTGGAAAATTGGAAGAATGAGAAATGCCGTGTAGGAATATGGTTAACTCACAAGCGAGTCAGTGTTTCCACAACTTTCTTGGGTTATGGATTAAAAGTTATGACAATTAAACAGAGCACATGAATTTAAATGTCTTTTACATGTACATGTAAGAAGCAGGAAAAAGAGAAATATAAACCTCTGATAAGTCTCACGATCATACACTTCTCATTTCTTCTTGGTCTCAAGCGCACAAGCATGGTTAGAGCTTAAAACCATACATGTAAATCAAAGACCGTTCACACCTGGCTGAAGTTTAATATTTACTACCAACACAAATCTTTCATTTAGATCATTAAAAACTGAATATTGAAAATTGGTGGTTAACAATATACTATCATATAAAATTTAGTACATTATTTTTTATTTACTGATTGGCTGATTGGTTGATTGGATTGTGTCCCATGGTCCGATAAGGACTGATGATGATGATTGGCAATTTAAAATTTATGTAGCTAATATGATATCATCATTTATAATCATACATGTACATGTATGTACTGTAACAGTAAATTGAAACTTTTTTTTCACATTTTTATTGAAACTCAATTACATTGCATAAATTAAAAATGTATACATGCATGTATGATCTGGCATCAAAGGTACTGTATGCAGTGGCTACAGTAATAATATTGCAGACCTTCAGATTGGAGTACTGTGTCATGTGTATAAGTACATCAAGTTTATGTATGAGAATGACACTTCAGGTCAATGGCAGAGAGGGGCAAGTGCTATATAATATTTGAATCTTAAATAGTAAAGACTAAAAATTTGACTGTACTTAATTTTACACAGCAGATATTTGGCAGTTTCTTTAATTCTTCTTTTTTTTTTCAATATTTGCCATATTGTACATTGTATAATATTATTATAATTTTATCAATAGTTGTTACATAAAATTTTAATTATTTTACACAAAATACAGCAATTGAGATAATTTNTACCTTGCTAGTTTTTGTCTTTACATCAAGGCAGTCTACTGTCGCCTGGAACTTCATATTTTTCGAAAACGAGGACGTCACGACAATTATGCGACTTCCCTGATGCAGTTTTTTTTTTTTTTTTTTTTCACATGACCAGTAGGCCTGTGTCTAAAATATTAATAAATTATTAGTATTTTCAATAGCACATGTTGCGACACCAGGAGATAGAAAATATTTATTTATTTGTATCCCAGGTAATATGTACATGTATGTATTAATAAATAACCTATTTATTATAAGCTAATACTTTATACATGTAGTTCTAATAAGTTTCATATCAACTTTACACATGACAATTGTCATTTGTTAATCTACTGGGGAACAATTAGCAACTTCAATTTGAAATATTATGATTTTAGGTCTTTGAATTCAATGTACTGTAGATGGAAGGAAAAAGGCTTTTTTAGACCACATAAAAATTTAGCTCAGTACATTATTACATGTTAATAACTGTAGCTAACTCTTACCAGTTGTTGAGCTTGAGGACTTTGGTAACTTGGACAATCCATCTTTTTTGGAGAAAGCAGCAGTCAGCTCATCTGAAAACAATTACAAAAACATTTTATGCATGTGACTGACTCATCGCCAATTGTCTTTTGAGGTCAGCAGTGACAGTCAAGGGAGTTTAGATGAAGCTTGAGGATGCTGAGAGGAAGGGATTATGGGAAAGAAGAAAAATCCCAAGAATCCCTGTGTCACACGATTAACTAAGTTGTCACTGTGACTTGTCCCTTTCTGTTTTTATTGAAAAGTTTCTTTCATTTTTTGTCCTTTGCCATTGTTAGTATTTTGTTTATTGTCTCAGTCTGTTTCTAGTTAAATCATAACTATTATTAAAATACAATTATTTATTTACAATCTTGGTCCTCATTATTTTACATATTATGTACGTAGCCCATTGCAAAAACGTGAGAGTACTGGGAGGAGTTTCTTATATTGATTAGATTGAAAATCTAAACATTTCAACTGAAATGTTACTGAATGAAAAGCTACCCAGTCAAGTTTGAGAGTTTTCAACAGAAAATTGTCCAAATGGGAGCCTTGCAAAAGTTGCAAAATTCCATACAAACCCTCACAATTTTGTGGCCTGTCTACCCAATCCATACAAACTCTCTATTTTAGTTGATATTTGAAGAGCTATCATTTTGCCATTTTCCTCTTCTAAATACTTCTATTCTTGCTGAAGACTCTCAAATTTAGTTGATCTTTCATTTGAATATCTTAGTTTCTCAAACAAACGGAAAACAACCATACTCTTTCCCAGTCCTCTCATGTTTTTGCAATGCGCTATGTACATCTAGTCTGCGCTTTTTTTGACAGTTCATGATCATACCCTGGTCCACATTTTAAATTACCCCCTCCATACATAATGCTTAATGTTTTTTCCAAATTGATGCTTTATACCAAGTCCGTAGTCCCTACCTGCCAGTCCCCATTTTATATCTCAGTCCTTGTTTCTAATAAAACTGTCCAGTCCGTGTTTTATGCTGACTACATTTTCTTTGTCCCAGTGTAAGTTTGTTTTTAACTGTTGTTATTTTGACCACTTTATTACCTGCATTTAGGGCTGTATTCCTAAATGGAACTTGCGCCTGCCTAAAAAGAGTGTGTTGATAACAAGATTTATAATTTACTTGGTTTGAAATACTGTATTATTGTATCAAACCCTCTGTCTAAGACATTATTTTAGGATCATGTGACAAAGAGTGGTAGTATACTGATCCATCAAAGTATAGAAACACCTGGAAACTGTTGCCAGTCACTTTAAGTGTTGTGTTTTTCACATAATCTTACATGTAAGCTTTTTACATACATTAGATTGTATTTTGGCTTGTTTGGGACTTAAAAAATTGTCTGACATCTGAAAACATGAAACAGGAGTGGATACTTTCTGTTTGAAGGCAACAAAAGGAAGCTCACCAGCTGTTATCTTATCAACCTTAACCGGAAATCACACATTTTGAAAACCTTAGCTACACAAAGCTCGTGAAAAAAGGCTCATGCATAAATGAAAAAAGCTTCGCGTTCTTTTGTTTACCAGTGGTTACCTAGGATCCAGTGGAGTCCTTTTCCCTTTCTTTAAGCTGGAGATCGGGGAACTCATTTTCCTTAGGTTCCTACGATTTCGTCGACATTTTTAGCCATTTTGGACGGCGATCAATAACCAACATTTTCTGTGCTCGATCGCCAAACCGAAAATCCAAAATGTCCGCCATGCCATTGTGCATAGTTACCAGGCTCTCTCGGTAATAGCCTCGAAGCTTGTAAACATGCTGGCGAAGTGGTGTTTGCAGTTGTTACCGGCGTAAAAAGACGGATAGAAAAAGTCCTTTATGGAAACCTGCTGCCCAGAGTAGGCATAGAAGGACTAATAATGACGTCCAAAAAGGATGATAGTGCTGGAAGTGTCCTACTTACGCCACTACTCGGAGTCAAGGCGAGAAAAAGCGACACCGTCGACGCTTCGAACTCCATGCCATCAATTTGCTACCTTCCGTCGAGGTCTTCGAAAAATTTGTTAGGATTGGAAAGAGAGAGCGTTGAAAATGCCACGGTATCGCTACATCAGGTAAGGCAAACATTAATCAGTGAAATAGTTTGATAGTTTGGCCCTCAATGACGTTCGCTTAAGAAGCGTTCTTATCGCGGACCTGCATTTTTCACGCCCGTTTGATTAACATTCGAGAGTTATTCTTGATTTGGGATCCAAATTGCGCCGCTTAAATAGTTCCTCATGAAGTGGTTCTATTTTCAAGAATATTGGATTTATTTTTCCCATCATATAAAGTGATGAGGACAGGCTGCACCTACCTTTGAAATTTTAAGCTAATTGGCTACATTGTGCTTTTTCATAATACCTCCTCTGAATTAAATTGAAGTTTAAATATATCTCAAGCCTCTTATTGTAAACAAAGTTATTTGTGGTAATTTTTCCACTCCTCACTTCACTTTCATTTAATTATATGATATATATAAAAAACAGCTTTCTATAGTTAATTCTGATTTTTAAAATTAAAGAAAGTTGAAAATCTTCTGTGTATACTATGACATGGAAATAACAATTTTTTTTTGGTTGAAATTCCAAAAAAAAAAAAATTCTGTACATATATGTGAGCTTATGTTATGAAATCGAAATGTCATAAAAAACATTGCAGAAAAATTTAAAAAGATATAAAACCATTCTGATTACAAGTAATTAAGCAACAGCATTTTAATAGTTACATGTATTTGCTAGCAGGATCGCTCATTATCAATTACATCAATGAAAACAAATCTTCACTTGAAAATATAAATAGTTTAAAATAACATATGTGTACTTGTACTTGTATAGAGTATTGTCTAAAATAATTCCTGAGCATCTCGTGTCACCAAANTTTGTTGTCATGCATTGAAAGTTGTCTGTCACCAGATCGCAAAGTGTTGTTACCCCCCTTTACACCAAACATTGTATTTTGCTTATGGTCTCTGTTTCTACTCTGTAGTTTAATCATGACTGTTACTTAATAAAAGCTGTGAGATTAATTATTTTATTAAGTATATTTATACAGTAGTAATTGTGATTATTATTTAAATCACCCTAATATTTGCTATAATTATTATTTTTAAAGGCGGCACGTGATGGAAAACGGGACCTTGTTGAAAGGAGGCTGGAAATGTTGGGTAAAGGAAACAAGAAGATCAACAAAAAGGATCAGGAGAACACAACAGCACTGCATTATGCTGTACGTTACAACCACCTTCACATTGTGAAGTTGTTGTTAGATTATGGAGCAGGTAAGGAGTAGCTTGAGCAACTAATCACACTGTGTAATAACTACATGGTGTGTACATTTGCAGTCATCTGAAACTTATATATTGTTTAGTGATAAATTTATAACTGATCCACTAAAAATATTAATTATAAAGTTAGATTGTAATTTGAATGATCCATGTACATTTGGACTCTAAATAAATGTGGACTGTTCTTTCCAGTTTAAGGAATTTCAAACTACTTCAATATCGTCTATAAGTTAAGCTAGAAATTATCAAGAGAACCCATGACAAAGAGCTTGTCATGAATTGCTCTTGGTGTAGGTCTCAAGCAACTCTTTTCTCTTCTTCTTTCATGCTATCTGGCAAACTTCCCTACATGCATCTGCCAATTCTCTCCTAATGGGCACCTTTAAATAGTAGTAATACTACATGTATGGGTTATTGACCAAGTGTGTGGTCAAGATGGCTGGATATTGGCCAAGTTCTTTTTTGCGTGTTTATTGACCAAGACGGAGTCGAGGTCCATAAACTCTCAAAAAAAGAATGAGGCCAATATCCAGCCATCTTGACCGAACAAGCTTGGTCAATAAAGAATTCATTACATGGCTTTTGGGGAAATTTTTCTTGCAGGACAGGGCCGGTAGTCCCGAGCGGGCAAGATAGCTCCATCTTGCCTGCTTGGGTAGCCAATCACAGCGCAGGATTTGATTCATCTTGCCCGCTCATGGAGCTAGCCATATAATAATGTATGTTACAATTCACACGAGTGTGGAGAAGACAATTCATGTCTCACTAAACGTATATCCCTGGAACGACAAAAGGTCACTCCATAATCCAGACACTCATTTCAGACCCTGTTGGTGTGGGTGTTTACTAGGGTTTCACTTAACATTAAAGAACCAAATCCTAAACCAGGTTCAGATGCAGGGATGCATGTATTAATTAAAAGTTGTTGGCATTGTGTTCCTGCTACAGTGTAAGTTGGTGCATGAATACGATAAAAACTGTTTACAAGTGCCTCTTTTTGCACTGGCAAGTTACATTGTGCAATTCCCTGCTCTTAAAGTCATGCGCTAGCTAACTTGAGATAATCTCAGATGAATACATATATTTTTTGCCCAAGATTCTGTACTGTTGTCTTATGTACATACATGTATGTATGTATTTATGTATATGTATGTTCCTCTGCAGAGAAAGCAAGTACATGTAAGAACTAATCAATAGGTGACAATTTAGTTTACTCTTTATTGTGTCCAAGGGGAGGATGACGTTTCTAAGATGTTCAAAAATTAATAGAATTTTACAGTGAAATGTCTATCTCTCATTGAATACAGAACTACATTAAAAATTTTCATGCAGTACTACAAGGTGGAAAATTTTTTGGTCAAATCTAGGATGACTCCGACCCTTGAATGAAGAGCGAGTTGAGCAGACAAAGAGAGATATCTCTTTTATTCAAGCTTGACAGCACATTTTGCTTTCATTTATCATAAATTATTTAATTAAATGTTATAGACATTGAAGCAAGAGGAGAAGATGATGCCACACCCCTTCACTATGCTGCCAGATTCCGACCAGTCCCTAGAATATATGGGGGTACCCCCAGGCCCACACCCCAAGTCACACCCAGCCCCAGCATGGAAAACATCAGTGACAATGGCTTAGTTCTAAAAAAGGACGACAAGAAAAAGGAAGGGGGCTCAGGCAGCTTTGGTAAAGGTACAAAGGATCGTCTGCTTGGCTCACTGAACAACAAAAGAGAGAAGCTTGGAAATAAACTCTTTCCTAAAGACTTCTTGACTGTAGAAAAGAGGAGTTCCTTTTCTAAAGAACCAACCAGTGCATCGCCCTTTATTGTAGAGACCATGATTATGTACTTGTTGTCCCAGAAGGCCAAGGTCAATGCACGAGACAGGTATGGGTCCACTCCATTGCATTATGCAGTCGCAAAAGGGAACCCAGATGCAGTGAAAGAACTTTTGACAGATCCAGGAATTGACATTGAGGTAGGGACATACATGAATTATATATGCAATCATATTAAATGCTGAATACAGTGGAACCCCACCTTACAGCCACCCCATAGTATGGCCACTTAGTTAATGTGGCCACTTTTTTGGCCCAAACAAAACCTCGATAAGTCATTTTCCTTTTTACAGAACCCCTTTAATACAGTCACCCCACTATATCGCCAGATTTTTGTGGCTCATTGGTGACCAAATTTACTGAGTGTAGAATTTTTACAAAGAAATGCAAGCCAGGGAACAAGCTTTGTCTCCTGGCATAAATTTCTTTGTAAAAATTGGCAAGTATTGCAAAACTTGATTTACTACTTATTGGTGCTCTCGTCTCTGTTTGGCTTAGAAATTATTATGCAACTTGTATTCAGGGTTAAGCATGGGAAGTGTTATTCCAGAAAAAGCAAGTCAATGAGAGGGTATGACGATAATTTGTTAGCATTGGCATCCATACCATCTACATGTTATTATGAAAGCAAAGTTGTTAATTGTAGCAGTCAAATGTTGAGACAAAATTAATCTACTTGTCAGCAACTCTGCTTGAGTATTGTAATGTTAATTTTAGGCTAAGGATAAAACAGAGATGACCCCCCTGCATGTGGCATCAAGCCAGGGCTCCCTGTCTGTGGCTGAGTGTCTTATTGAAGCTGGAGCTGACTTGAGAAGTTTGGATGAAGAGCAGATGACACCACTGCACTTTGCTTGCATGGAAGGAAGTCTTGAAGTTGCCCAACTGCTTTTTAAGACAGGTGTGTAAACACGCTTGTACATGTATCTTACATACCGTAAATCCTCGAATTAGCACCGGGGGTGCTTATTTCAAATTTAGGAGAAGACAGGGGGTGCTTTTTCAAGGGGGCACTTAATCAAGTGGGGGGGGGGGGGTTATTTATTTTTCCCCAGATTGTGGCCTGACATGATAATTTTTTGAAAACATCATCTGTGCATAAACAACAACATAAAATGTTTATTGACATAAAAAACTGATCCTAAAGTTTAAATCTCGGCACCATTAGTACTTGACGCATTCAACGTGTTCACTTAATGTGTTCACAAACTGAAACAATGTACAAATCTAAGACTACATGATGAAAACTATATTCTTTTTTGTTTCATTACTCGTCCACAAAATGGGGGGAGGGGAGGGGGACACTTATTCGAGGGGGCGCTTATTTTAAATTTTGGCCGATACAAGGGGCGCTTACATGTATTCGAAGGGGGCACTTATTCGAGGGGGGGCGCTAATTCGAGGATTTATGGTAAGTAGAATTCTACTAGTACTGTATACAGTACTAATGCAAATGCTGCAACCTAATTGGCTTAGCTACTCTTACATACTTTCTGCCATTGGCTGGAGGTTGTTGCAAAATAGCGATGTTTCCTCATTTTTGTTAAGTTACAGAAGAACATTTAGATACAAACGAATAATTAAATTCTTGAGAAGACTAGAAGAAGGGCATTCACAGTTTCATGACTTTAGAAATCTAGAAAATGTTGAAAAATCTGATTAGCACACATACACAACTTACAGCAAATTCCAAACGAAAACTCAGTCTGTGCGCTTTTTCTAAAGCATAAAGTTAAATACCATGTTCTAGAAAATTTTCATAAGAATTCTACTAATTAAAAACAATTAGGTTATTGGCTCTCGATTTATGAGCATCCAACTTAAATCTTTTGCCAAGTGTATGGGTAAACAGTGAAATCTCAATTTCTCAAACCACCTAGCATCTTGTAGCAAAAGTGATTTTCCTACACTTACTTGTAGCTTGGATTTCACTGTGATTTGTTTAGCCCTGAATTATCACATTCCTCAAAATAATGTCTGCTGATGTTCCTTGCCCTGAGAGTTTTTGAGAAATCAAGATTTCCCGGCTTGTACTAAGTTGAATTAATCCATGAAATTATCAATTGTATGACTATTTCAACCAATGGAAGTCTTTTTATTGAGCCATACCTTTGTGTGCTTTTGTTTGTTGTTCAGTGGTTGTAGGGGTAATTCTTCACACCCTGAAGTGCGACCATTCAAATATAGCAGCTGGACAGTACTTATTAAAATTTGTGCGTGAAACTGTTTAATATACATGTATGCAGTGTCTGTCAGTGGATGAAACCTTATTAGTCAGTGTCGTATGATGGTAAGGGGAGCTGACTAAGTCCTAAGTCCTGACTAATAATTACCGCTGGTACCTCTGTCAATAGTTTAAAACTCGAAGTTTTGGTTGTTGAAATTTGGCTTTCTTGAAAGTGACTTGTTATTAAATTACCTTCGATTAATAATATTAATATTGGTAATATATAGCCGAAGAGAGAGGTGGTTGGTCCTTGGTATCCAAGATGGTCATAGACCAAGATCGCGAGGAACAAACCGCTCTTCACCTTGCGGTCGAGGATGGTGACCAGAAGCTAGCCAAGCTTTGCCTTGATAAAGGAGCAAACGTCAATGCCCACAAGATGAACATGAGCACACCGCTGCACTTAGCGGCCACTGGGGGTGACTTGGAAATCGTCAAGATGTTAATTGAACATGATGCAAACATAGAAGCTAAGAATGCCTCTCAGGAGACTCCACTGCACAGGGCAGCTCAGTTTAACAGAGTAAACATCGTTGACTTTCTTCTGAGCGAGTAAGTCAAGTGTTGTTGTGTATAATTGTGTGGTAATAAAGCTTTAATTCTGACTTCTTCAGACTACATGTAAGTTGAGTAAAGATACCGTTTCCCGACTCTGTAGTAGACATAATTAGAAACAAGATACCAAAGCAGAGTCAAAGTGTTAGCGATCACAAGCTTTCGGCACTGTCATAGCGTCTTTGTCGTCACGTGAGCTTGGGTGAACCAAGTCACGTGCCAGAACATCCC